ATACATAATTTTGTGTTAGTTGTGACATTATTCTGTGCTTCTGTATTGTATTTTGTCTTTTTTTCAATGGTACTTTCCTGTATATTCTGATTAATGCCGTACACTGACAATATGAGGTAAAGTATTATTATCTTCCACACACATATTATTTTATTTATTTATTTTGAGAGGTTTTCACTATAGGGAACGTGCAGTCGCCAGAAAGACAGAGTGAGACAGAGAGACAGAAAGCGAGAAATCACCCCCCGGGGGGATGGCCACACTGTAATCCCTTCTCCTCCATTCTCCTCTCGGGATCTTGGGCACACACGCACACGCACCCAGCATGAGTTTAATCCACCGGGTCCGGGACTCAAACTGCGGTCGACCACATGGGAGTCCAGCGACAATGCCATTATGCCGACTGCTGGTCCCGTCTATATACATATTATAAAGCTGAGACAAATAGATGTGAAGTCTCTAAGCCAAGTTGTCTCAGTGAGCTAACATAAATGTAGCTTTAAATAAGTCTATTTTAAGCTTATTCTAAGTCTATTATTCTCATTAAACTCCTGCAATTCTACCAGGTGTCTGAGGGTGTTTGTTGTTTTTTTTACGTTTTATTACTCTTTCATAATGTTCTTCCATAGAGACTTACTAATAATCAGCAGAAAACACAACACTTTAATTACACTCTAATGCAAACAAACAAATAAATAAGAGATAGACAGAAAAAATACATCCTGTATGAACACAGTTGAGAATCAGAAGCTTTTGTCTTCAGAGCCTCTATTCTAATAACTCATCTTGTTTATATCTCAGACAAGGAGAACTTCAGACTATGGTCAGAATTCCAGAACCAGGGCCAGGCCCTGGAGAGTCAGGAAATTTCTATATACGTTCTACTACTTCGCAAGGCATGTTAGAACAGTGATGAGAAACTCTTCTGAATTAAAAAAAAATCTCTTTTTCTTTCTTGAGATATAAGAAACCAACTCTGAACTAATTGTGTCTTGTACCACGGTCTTAGTTCAAGTTACATTTCATTTCTTCCCCCGGACCCTACATCTCTGAGGGGCAGTAATTTTATGGATTAATTATTGCCTATTTTATAGCTTCACAAAAATAAATCAAATAGTACATACCCATTGTGTCTGGCTTAACTCATTCAATGTTCTATGTTTTTTGTTTGTTTGTTTGTTTGTTTTTTAGATTTTTTTTTTGAGAGGACTTTTGCTATAGGGCACGTGTGCTCACCAGACAGAGAGAGACAGAGAGACAGAAAGCGAGAAATCACCCCCCCAGGGGGGATGGCCACTCCGCAATCCCTTCTCCTCCATTCTCCTCTTGGGATCTTGGGCACACATGCACACGCACCTGACGTGAGTTTAAGCCACTGGGTCTGGGACTCGAACCGCAGTCGACTACGTGGGAGTCCAGCAACATAGCCATTACGCTAACTGCTGGTCCCTACTATGTTTGAGATTAATGCACATTATTGCTAGAATCAATAGTTTGTTCCTTTGTATAATTAGGTCGTGTGTCCTTGTATTAATACACCATAAATTGCATACCCATTCTCCTGTCAGTGGGCTTTGACAATTTCAAATGAGAAACTTCTCCATTTTTCTTTGTGTTCTTTTTTACTTTTTGCTTTTTTGTTTGTTTTCATTTTGCTTTGTTTTGTTCATTGCTCGATGGTGCATGTGCTCAGCAAAGAGAGACAAAGAGAGAGGAAGAAAAGAGAGACAGCACCCTCCTCTTGGGCGTGGTCACACTGCAATCATTTCTCCATCACTTCTCCATCCTGTTAGAACATTGGGCGCACACGCACATGTGTCCTGTGTGTTCCTGAAGCCACCAGAGTGGGATTGGATTTGTGGTTGGCCGTGTGGCTTGCTCAACCACTAGGCTATGGGCTCAGTTGTATCTTTGCTCTTTTTGGCTCACATAACATAGCTTCTGTGAAATTCTTGTACAATATGGAAAGACATTTTTTATTTCTCATGAATAAACAACTAGGAATATAATTGTTGGAGCATAGAATTGGTCAATTTTACCTTAATTGCAAACTGTCAGAGGGTTTTCTTAAATGTATTAACATCCCCATTGGCAACACCTCAGTGTTCCAGCTGTTCCACATCCACACTAATACTTGGTAATTTTAGACATTTTAAATAGTACAGGGTAATATCACAGTGAGGTTTAAAGTTGCAGTCCCCGGATGACTAGCGATTTTGTGTATTTTTTCATAAGTTTTTGGCCAACCGTGTGTCTTCTTCGTTAAAGTGACTATTGCCCATTTCTTTGTGAAATTGTCTTTTTTTATTATTTTTAAATTTGCTATATGGCATGTGCACTCATCAGAGAGAGAGAGGAAATAAGAAAGCACCCCCTAGGGGTGGGTCCCCAGGGGTGGCCATGCTGCAATCCCTTCTCCTCCATTCTCCTCTCAAGATTTCGGGTGCATACACATGCATCTGGTGTGTTTCTCAAGCTGTCCATCTAGACTTGAACGTCACTGGCAGTCCTGTGGGATCCAGCGACCTCAACCACGACACCAGCAGCTGATCCTAGATTGTCTTTATTACTGATTTTCCAGAATTTTAAAATATATTCTAGAGTTCAGTCTTTGGCAAATATTTGCAAGTACGGCAAGTATGTTTTTTTTTTCCCAGTTCTGGTTCCTTTTTCATGTGTGCATGTGTGTGTGTGTGTGTGTGTGTGTGTGTGTGTGTCTTATGATGAGGAAATTTTAATTAAGTCCAAATGACCATGTTTTATGATCAAGTCTGCTTTGCCTTGTCCAAAACATCTTTGCCTACTCCAAGATTGTAAATATACTGTCCTGGTTTAGTTTTAACATTTAGAAAAAGGTTTCTCAATCTTGCCACTACTGTATGTGCATTTTAAATTAGGTAATCCCTTCTCCTGGGCACACGTTATCCTGTGTTTTGCGGGATTTTTCTCAGTGGCCTGGCCTGTACCCACTAGACGACAACAGCATTAGTAGGATGGTAGTAGTTCAAGGTTCTTTTTTTTCTCTAGGAAATAGAGCTTTTCCGGAACTACTTATTTAAAAGAAGTTCTTGCTCCATTGCCTTGAATTGGCATCTTTCTTGAAAAATCAGTTGACCTCAGCGTGTGTCTATTCCTGCATTCTCTATTTTATTGTATTGATCTATTCATATGTCGTTATCTCACTCTACTTATTTAGCATGGTTTTTGAGACTCTAGGCTATTTTTTATATATATCATTTTAGAATGATTGGTCAAATTCTATAAAAATGTCTGTTTGGATTTTAATTGAGATTATATTGAAACTGTAAGAATTCTTTAAAATATCAGTGTTCTGTGTTCTGAGGCCAGCCAATGGCGTAGCAGTTACATTGTTGGACTCTCACATGGCTAACTGTGGTTTGCATCCTGAAGCCAGTGGCTTGGAACTCAGGCCTGGTGCATGTGTGGGCTGTGATTCCAGGAAGGGCAAGAAAGAGAAGGTGTTACAGCGTGGCCATCCCCTCTGGGGAGTGATTTCTCACCTCCCTTCTCACTGTCTCTTTCTCTGTCTTTTTTTTTTTTTTTTAGAGGTTTTAGCTATAGGGCGCGGGTGCTCGCCAGATAGACAGAAACAGACAGAGAGACAGAAAGCGAGAAATCACCCCCCAGGAGAATGGCCACACCGCAATCCCTTCTCCTCCATTCTCCTCTCGGGATCTTGGGCATGCACGCATAAGTGCCCGGCGTGAGTTTTAAGCCATCGGGTCTGGGACACGAACCGCAGTCGACTACATGGGAGTCCAGTGACATAGCCATTATGCTAACTGCTGGTCCCCCCCATATTAGATTTTTACAGTTCTTTGAACATACAACTTTCTCTGATTCCGGGCCTCTGCATATGTTGTCCTTTATCCGTCTGCTTTGCTCTTTAACTAATTTCCTGTTGCCTTCATGTCTCAGTTTACTGATGAGCTGCTCAATATCTTCCATGACTCTTTGGTTCTCCCAGTGTCCATTCCTATAGTACATTGCACTGCTTTAATAGTATTTATAGAACTCATCTGCTTCTATTATTTGTTGAATACAACCTTTCTGCTTAGAGCAGAAACCCCCGTGCCTGGTTGATTAAAAAGTATTCCATAAATATTTGTTGCTTTTTGAGAAAACTAAGGAGCAAAATCTTTTGATTGCTTTATCATAGATATTACAAAGGTGATTTTTAAAAAAAATTATTGGTGAGGAATCCACAGACATGTATCCAGATAGTCGTTAGCCAATAATTACAGTAAAGTTCCTTTTTTGTCCACTTTGCTAACGTTACCAACTATGTGTTCAAATCAGATAGTGCTCTTGTGTCTAGCTCAAGAGGACAATAAAGAACAACATTTTTGAAGAGCAGTTAGCGACAGTGGCACAAGGTATGTGCTAACAAAAACAATTGAAATAAATCTTCCAGCAGCTTGGTATCATTACCAAGACATTTGTCAAATAACATCAGTGATTTAATATTAACACATCAGCTTCAAGATAATTCTACAGCTTAAAAAATTCTACTGCCTAAGTATAAATAGGATCATACTGTTTCCTGCTATCCACAACTCTCTTGTTCTCTGCAGCTGAGGCATGCCTAGATATATGTGTTATGTATGCCAAGATTTTCACTAACTCTTCCTAGACAGTAGGATGATATTGCAGTAGACATCATTAGATATATTTTGTCTTTTATGTAGAAAATAAAGCACATCTAGGGAAGAAGACTTGGCTATTATGGAATGGCATTGACTACTCCATAATTCCTATTTGAAACCAGGACTTGACATACAGTAGTTGTTAAATAAACATTTATTTAATAAGTCAATAAAAATGACCATCACAAAAATTCAAAGCAAAGTCAATTATATTAAACAAAGTTGTTTATTGATTAACCCATAAACAGTTTTATTTTAAAAAAAAAGTATAAACTAAATTACTGTCTTGCCTTCAGTTAATAAAATGAGACTTTTCCTGGGCAGAAGCTCTGACTACCCCCCACAGTTTTTACAACGCTGAAGACCGTTCTCATTGCAAGCCGTGCACTTCAGGGCTTTGAAAGAGTCCGTAAAGCAGTTTCGGAACACTGACATCTTGCTCCCATGGCACACAGAGCATGGAATAAAGCCGAAACCTCCACAGGAGGGACACTCGTGTGGGTGCTGCACTCTCTGTGTAAGGGGGAAGGGGGACAAGAGAGTAAAGAAACAAAGTGTTAGCATGACGGCTCAACAAGCCTTCCCATCTTTCAGTACTGTGAATTGGCGTGATGCATTTGAAATCACCTCTCACCGGTACGTCTTAGACCCAGGGAAGAAATTAGCCAAAGTCCTCCTCCGGCTCCCTGCTGGCCAGCTATAGCAGAGACTTGAGTTTTAAAGCCTGGTGAATTTTAGGTTAAAGGTACATAAGAGGGCTTCTGCATAGTGTGAAAAAGCTATGCATGGATTTCACGAACTTTAGCACCAAAATAAAATTGTACCAACTTGTTATAACATATCTGAACAGGATCTGGTTTGAGGTACTGAGAAAGAGGAGACATTAGATTGAAAAGAATCCCTAGCAGAGCACTGAAGCAAAAACAATCATATTGATGCTGAAGAGTGTAATGGAAATCACTGATGCTTTACAAAAATTTGATGGGGGAACCAGCAGTTAGTGTAATGGCTATGTCGCTGGACTCCCCCATAGTCGACCTCGGTTCGAGTCCCGGACCTGGTGGCTTAAACTCATGCCGGGTGCGTGTGCGTGCATGCCCAAGATCCCGAGAGGAGAGTGGAGGAGAAGGGATTGCGGCGTGGCCATCCCCCCTGGGGGGGGATTTCTCGCTTTCTATCTCTCTGTCTCTCTCTGTCGGGTGAACACCCGTGTCCTATAGCAAAAAAAAATCCTCTCCAAAAAAGTTGATGGGAGCTGGACCAGCAGTTAGCATAACAGCTATGTCACAGGACTCCCATGTAGTCAACAGCAGTTTGAGTTCCAGACCCGGTGTCTTAAACTGACGTCGGGAGCATGTCCATGCGTGCCCAAGATCCTGAGAGGAGAATGGAGGAGAAGGGATTGCGGCGTGGCCATCCCCCCTGGGGGGGGATTTCTCGCTTTCTATCTCTCTGTCTCTCTCTGTCGGGTGAACACCCGTGTCCTATAGCAAAAAAAAATCCTCTCCAAAAAAGTTGATGGGAGCTGGACCAGCAGTTAGCATAACAGCTATGTCACAGGACTCCCATGTAGTCAACAGCAGTTTGAGTTCCAGACCCGGTGTCTTAAACTGACGTCGGGAGCATGTCCATGCGTGCCCAAGATCCTGAGAGGAGAATGGAGGAGAAGGGATTGCGGCGTGGCCATCCCCCCTGGGGGGGGATTTCTCGCTTTCTATCTCTCTGTCTCTCTCTGTCGGGTGAACACCCGTGTCCTATAGCAAAAAAAAATCCTCTCCAAAAAAGTTGATGGGAGCTGGACCAGCAGTTAGCATAACAGCTATGTCACAGGACTCCCATGTAGTCAACAGCAGTTTGAGTTCCAGACCCGGTGTCTTAAACTGACGTCGGGAGCATGTCCATGCGTGCCCAAGATCCTGAGAGGAGAATGGAGGAGAAGGGATTGCGGCGTGGCCATCCCCCCTGGGGGGGGATTTCTCGCTTTCTATCTCTCTGTCTCTCTCTGTCGGGTGAACACCCGTGTCCTATAGCAAAAAAAAATCCTCTCCAAAAAAGTTGATGGGAGCTGGACCAGCAGTTAGCATAACAGCTATGTCACAGGACTCCCATGTAGTCAACAGCAGTTTGAGTTCCAGACCCGGTGTCTTAAACTGACGTCGGGAGCATGTCCATGCGTGCCCAAGATCCTGAGAGGAGAATGGAGGAGAAGGGATTGCGGCGTGGCCATCCCCCCTGGGGGGGGATTTCTCGCTTTCTATCTCTCTGTCTCTCTCTGTCGGGTGAACACCCGTGTCCTATAGCAAAAAAAAATCCTCTCCAAAAAAGTTGATGGGAGCTGGACCAGCAGTTAGCATAACAGCTATGTCACAGGACTCCCATGTAGTCAACAGCAGTTTGAGTTCCAGACCCGGTGTCTTAAACTGACGTCGGGAGCATGTCCATGCGTGCCCAAGATCCTGAGAGGAGAATGGAGGAGAAGGGATTGCGGCGTGGCCATCCCCCCTGGGGGGGGATTTCTCGCTTTCTATCTCTCTGTCTCTCTCTGTCGGGTGAACACCCGTGTCCTATAGCAAAAAAAAATCCTCTCCAAAAAAGTTGATGGGAGCTGGACCAGCAGTTAGCATAACAGCTATGTCACAGGACTCCCATGTAGTCAACAGCAGTTTGAGTTCCAGACCCGGTGTCTTAAACTGACGTCGGGAGCATGTCCATGCGTGCCCAAGATCCTGAGAGGAGAATGGAGGAGAAGGGATTGCGGCGTGGCCATCCCCCCTGGGGGGGGATTTCTCGCTTTCTATCTCTCTGTCTCTCTCTGTCGGGTGAACACCCGTGTCCTATAGCAAAAAAAAATCCTCTCCAAAAAAGTTGATGGGAGCTGGACCAGCAGTTAGCATAACAGCTATGTCACAGGACTCCCATGTAGTCAACAGCAGTTTGAGTTCCAGACCCGGTGTCTTAAACTGACGTCGGGAGCATGTCCATGCGTGCCCAAGATCCTGAGAGGAGAATGGAGGAGAAGGGATTGCGGCGTGGCCATCCCCCCTGGGGGGGGATTTCTCGCTTTCTATCTCTCTGTCTCTCTCTGTCGGGTGAACACCCGTGTCCTATAGCAAAAAAAAATCCTCTCCAAAAAAGTTGATGGGAGCTGGACCAGCAGTTAGCATAACAGCTATGTCACAGGACTCCCATGTAGTCAACAGCAGTTTGAGTTCCAGACCCGGTGTCTTAAACTGACGTCGGGAGCATGTCCATGCGTGCCCAAGATCCTGAGAGGAGAATGGAGGAGAAGGGATTGCGGCGTGGCCATCCCCCCTGGGGGGGGATTTCTCGCTTTCTATCTCTCTGTCTCTCTCTGTCGGGTGAACACCCGTGTCCTATAGCAAAAAAAAATCCTCTCCAAAAAAGTTGATGGGAGCTGGACCAGCAGTTAGCATAACAGCTATGTCACAGGACTCCCATGTAGTCAACAGCAGTTTGAGTTCCAGACCCGGTGTCTTAAACTGACGTCGGGAGCATGTCCATGCGTGCCCAAGATCCCGAGAGGAGAATGAAGGAGAAGGGATTGTGGTGTGGCCATCCCCCTGGGGGGGGGTGATTTCTCACTTTCCATCTCTCTGTCTTTCTCTGTCTTTCTGTAGCAAAAACCTCTCCAAAAAAAAAAAAAAAAAAAAAAAAAAAAAAAAAAAAAAAAAAGAAAAAAAAAAGAAAAAAATCATCATATGAAATCATTTCATATATTTACAAGCCAAATAATTCTGGATGGTTATTTGTATTTAAAGAAAATACTTTAACTTTCTCTTTAGTATCATTTAACAGCTTTTTATCTTCATTTATAGAATACTACCAGTAACAGCAGGTCTGAAAAACACAAAACTAAATGCTAAGGAGTGGAAGGTTGCACTAGGAAGGGAAGATCCATTGCTGTATTGAACATTTTGAATGTTTTATTTCTGCAGAGTGCTTCCAAATGCATTCTCAGATAGACTCTTTCCTCACTCGGTCCTCTCCAGTACTGATACTGGCTTCAGTAGCGGCATAATTTGAGCATCATTATCCTCACTTCATGTTTATGGAGACAGATACAGAAATCCCTGGGGCATTTTGCAAGTCCATAAAATTTTCCCCAGTAGCTATCAACGTTTCTACTCTATGCAAAGATGAAGTATCTCTAGTTGCAGAATAAAAACAACTAGGGAGTATGTTGAAAATAATAGCTTGAAACTTGCTCATATGCCTTTCTAGTTGCATTTTAAAGCGTGTAACCTTTGCAGTAGAGGTTTCTCTTAAGTCCGAAGTCTGGGAGAAGGGAGATTTGGAGCCATAGAATGAATACACATAGAAGGGAAATGAATGGATGCTAAGCCTCTTAACTTGCAAAATGGGGATTTACAACAATGTTTGAAGTCCTGTCTTCGTGAAAAGAAAAATTGCCAAAATAAAGTGACCAATTTGTGTCTTCTCATCTCAGTATCTTGTCTTATAAGTCATATAAGGTTATATCATCTATTATATTTTTAAAGCTTGCATTTCTACTCCACAATTTGATAGTTGGAGATGATTTCTAAATATGCTTCAAATGTGTTTATTTGCTATCCTGTGTACTTTCTATATAAAATCTCTTCCTCTTCTTTTTTTCTGGACCTTCTCCAGTCAAAAGATTTCTAATCTTATGCTGTGTTTAACATTCTGATATGGGACTAGCAGTCAGTGTAATAGCTATGTCGCTAGATTCCCATGTAGTTGATCACGGTTCGAGTCCCAGACCCGGTGGCTTAAACTCATGCCGGGTGCGTGTGCGTGCATGCCCAAGATCCCGAGAGGAGAATGGAGGAGAAGGGATTGTGGTGTGATCATCCCCCCTGGAGGGTGATTTCTCCCTTTCTGTCTCTCTGTCTCTCTCTGTCTTTCTGGCAAGCGCACACACCCTATAGGAAAAAACCTCTACAAAAAAAAATTCTGATATAAACTTTTCTTACACACTACCATGATAAATACCTTAAAGTCACATTTAAAAAAAATATCCAACTGAAAAGGAACCTGCTTAACCTGTATGAACCAACCATTTACCCAGCATATACAACTGTAAGAACGTTTTCTGCAGGAAATAAATACTCTTTCATACATACTAGCCCGTGTAATGTATTTTGAAACACGAACATTGTGCATATGGTTGCCTGCAGCTATATATTTCATTTTTCAGATACGTATTTTCTATGTATCACAAGATTTGCTTACAATTACAGTTGGCTTAGCTATTGTATCAAGGTGCCAAAACTCACGTGAAAACTCATTTTAGTGGCACAGATTTCTTGGATGGAAAGTAGTGACTGCCGATATAAAGGAACAAATGAGGAAGTGTGTGAAGATTGTGGAAGATAGATTATGTACAGTGATTTGTCTACTTCAGGAGTGGCTTTTAGTCATTTCTTTGTGCAAGAAGCTGCCTGAAAAAAAGATGCACTGGAGTTAAATTATTTATTTATTTAGATTTTTGCCACAGGGCAAACACGCTC